CTTCACGCTGGGGTGGAGGTGCCAGGTCAGCTCCCTGCTTCCACACCCAGGAGACAGCACTATATGGCTCTTGCCATTCTCATGGGAGACCCAAACTGAGCTCTGGACCCCTGGCTTCCGCCTGACCCAGCCCTGGCCATTGGAGCCAGATTCTTTCTCTGCAAGTCTGCCCTTCAAATAAATAAAACAAAACCACAAACGCCCAGCACTGCATACGTGGGCCTGGCCGGTCAGCTCTCACCTCAGCCCCCCGCCCACAGCATCTCCGCCGCGATGCAGCTCACACTTAGGGTCAGGTTGCATCATCCGCGCATCATAGCCCAACAGCAGCTTCTGGGATCTGCCTCCTCCCTGCCACCCCAGTGCCAGCAGCATCCTCAAGACTCATGCTAGGACCAAGGCAGACTGTCCTGGCATGGAATCCCTGGCCCGGCTGTGAACGCTAACTTGCAGGAAGCACAGGCACGCTGGCAGGCACACCCCGTGGAGCTGAGGCAGGAGCTGGGCAGAGAGCCGGCACAGCTGGCTCACCGGACAAGGCACAGCAGCCCATTTCCAGGTGGCTTTGTTCCTTCCAGAAAGTTCCCCAGATGGACCACCTGAGGGCCTGTGTGCCTGTGAGAGGGAGGCAGGGGGCTGGGCGCACCTGGCTCTTCTTCTCCTTCTGTTCCAGGACCCTCTGCAGTGCCTTCCTCTCCTTCTTGCTCAGTGGCTTCCTCTCTTTCCGTGGGGGTGGGGCCCTGGTCTTCTTCTTCTTCTTGCCAGGCAGCACCAGCGCGTTGCTGGCATCGACGCCTTTCAACGCATCCTTGCCTGCAAAGACAACCCCGGCTTGTTCTCAGACCCTGGCTCCCGGGCGCCACCCTCCCGCGGGACGCTCTGGGAGGTCCACAGGGAGAAGCGGGTTTTGAGTTCTGAGGGGGTAGCTGACAGGTGTAGCGGTGTTGTTGCTTGGGGGGCCTGGTCAGGTCCTGACTGTACCCTGACCCAGCTTCCGGCTGACACACAGCCCAGGAGGCAAGGCCGCCCACGAGGGTGAAGTGCACTAAACTCTGTTTCGGCCTGCGCTGACCTTAGATGTCGCGCACACACGGGCAGCTGACCAGTACATGGAAAAAGGCTCCCTGCCTTTGCTTTATCTATTTATTTTAAAATATTTATTATTTTTATTGGAAAGGCAGATAGCAGAGAGGAGAGACAGAAAGGAAAATCTTTGTCTGATGCTTTACTCCCCAAGCGGTTGCAATGGCTGGAGCTGAGCCAATCCGAAGCCAGGAGCCTCTTCCAGGTCTCCTGTGTGGGTACAGGGTCCCAAGGCTTTGGGCTGTCCTTGACAGCTTTCCCAGGCCACAAGCAGGGAGCTAGATGGGAAGTGGAGCTGCCGGGATTAGAACCGGTGCCAGTATAGAATCCTGGTGCGTGCAGGATGAAGACTAGTCACTAGGCTACAGCACCAGGCCTATCTCTTTGGCTTTAATATAACCAAATACTGTAAGAATGTTGAGGGCCCAATAGGGTAGCCTAGTGGCTAAAGCCCTTGCCTAGCATGCACCAGGTGGGTGGGGACGAACACCCACCTAAGGAGCGTGGAGAGGGGGCAGCCAGGCAGGCTGGCCTCAGACCTGCCTTCCCCATCAGACCCTGGGCCCACCAGGCCTGGACGCCTCTGCTGGCCTCTGAGCGGCCGCCCTCCCCCCAACCCAGGGTGACAGACACCTGTCCCAGGGCACGACGAGCCCCCACTACCCTGTCAGTTCTGAACTGCCAGAGGCCAGATGTAGAAACTGATGCACAAGGCACCTGGGTGAGTGCCAACATCCGCCAAGAAAGCCACTGTGGAGGTGGTCACGCTGACCGGGACCTCCCAGGTCAGCCCGGAGCTTTGCCCCTCCTCCTGTCCCTCTGGGGCCCCCACCCCGGCCTGGACAACCGCACCCTCCCTGCAATCTTCTGTCGAGGGCCAGGGAACAGCTGGCCTGGATTTGCTGCTCTCTGCATCAGAGCCACCAGATGCTCACCGGGGCAACCCATCCAGTCATTCGCACAGTGCAGGTCTGGATGCCCACCCGTACCTTCCCCAGGCTGCTCCCCGGCCAAAGCCGCCAGCCCCTGCAGCCCCTCCTCCCCCGGGCACCAGGGTCCAGCGCGAAGTCCCCCGACCCTGGGTTCCCTTCTCTCACGGGACCCGGGCGGCCCCAGCTGCCCCAATGCCAACACCTCCTCAGTGACGACCCCCAGGAGCCAGCAGCCCACGCCCTTCCTCCCCGTCATCGCCTCGGCATCCCATGGAGCGAGCAGGTGAGCCCAGAAACGCCAGTCCGGAGCCAGGGGATGGCCACTCGCCGGCCACGGATGACCACCGGCCATGAGGTGACAGAAACCTGCGTGCCACGCCCGTCCGCCTCACCCTCCAGCTCCAGCTGCACGAGGGGCAGCGCCTCCGGGGCTCCCTTCGAGGGTCCCGGGGCTGCCTGCTGCCGCCCCTTGAGGTTGTACCGCCTGCGCAACTTCCCCATCGCGACTGGCCGCGATCCCAAGTCCGATTCACGTGGGCAGCCAAACCACCCGCGGCAGAGCACTTCCGGGTTGTGCTCTCGCGAGAACTGCATCTACCCGGGAGAACGAGGGGCGGGGTCGCAGGGAGTCCATGCGGAGAGGCGGGGCCAGGCCGGGGCTGGGCGGAGTCCTGGAGGGAGGGGGCGGGGCCAACCGGGTGGGCGGGGCCGATTCAAACTGGGTGACCGTGGGTTGAGCCGACAGTTCGCGCCCAGGGCTGTGCCCAACCGACAAGTCCGTAGTTTCCAAATCTGAATTATTCACTAATACTGTTTGGGCCCCAGGGACTCCTGACATCTTTTAAAAGATAGCCCCGCTCCTGATAAAACTTGGCCCGCCCTCTTCTGATATTCTTTTTGTTTGCTTTGGTTTTTGTTGTATTTATTCTCTTCTGATATTCTTGCAAGAATGGCGTTGGATATAAAGAGGCTTTATACCCATCAAGGAACAGATAGATGGGCAACGAGCAGGAAGGAGCTTCCCCACTCCGCTTCCACTGCGTGGGGAGCCGCATGTCTTCCGAATTATGGCACTAGCCAGCATTTGTTAAACCATGGGAAGTCTACCCTGAAGAGATCAGACTGCGACACGAAGATGTCAGGTGTAAGTTTAATGGTGTAGCAGCAACAGAGGGAGGGAATATCATTATATACTCGTTATATATATCAATATCATGATAGTGTGCCTATGAATAACACTGAATTTGTTCTCTGTGTTGATAGCACATTAACAAAAATGAGAGGGTTAAAAAGTGTATAATGGTTTTCTTTTTGTTTTTTCTTTTTAGAAAGGAGAAGTTATGGGTCCAGCACAGTAGCCTAGCAGCTGAAGTCCTCGCCTTGAACTCACCAGGATCCCATATGGGCACCGGTTCGAATCCCGGTGGCCCCACTTCCCATCCAGCTTCCTGCCTGTGGCCCGGGAAAGCAGTAGAAGACGGCCCAAAGCTTTGGGACCCTGCTCCTGCATGGGAGGCTCAGAAGAGACCCCTGGCTCCTGGTTTTGTCCTGGCTCAGCCCTGGTTGTGGCAGCCGTTCCAGGAGTGAACCAATGGCTTGAAGATCTGTCAATTCCGCCTTTGCAGTAGACAGATACGTGTTAGAATAATAAACAGCCCTGGTGGCTGCTCTCAATCTCCCCCTCTACCGGTCACATGCAGAAAGCAGCTGGACATCGAATGGTGGGGACTGCAGGTAGGGAGTGAGGTGGCACAGCCAGGGTGAGGTGAGGAGTGAAACTACACATTGGGGATTTGCTTCCCCAAGGGAATAAAACCCCTAAGGACATACGAAGAACAGGTGCAGGTTTGTGAAGTCCAGGAGGGGTCTACAGGGAACGGGGGCAGCTCTCAAAGAGGATCTCAGGGCCCAGTGCAAAGGCCTAGTGGATAAAGTCCTCACTTTGCATGAGCCACGATCCCATATGGGCCCTGGTTCTAATCCCAGCTGCCCCACTTCCCATCCAGCTCCCTGCTTGTGGCCTGGGAAAGCAGTCGAGGACGGCCCAAAGCCTTGGGACCCTGTACCCACATGGGAGACCTGAAAGAAACTCCTAGTTCCTGGTTTCCAATCAGTTCGTCTCTGGCCATTGCGGCCGCTTGGGGAATGAATCAACGGACGGGAGATCTTCCTGCCTCTCCTCTGCATATCTGACTTTGTAATAAAGATTAATAAATCTTAAAAACAAAACGAGGAGCTCAGAGGAAGTGCCCCTTCCTGCCTTGGGGATCCCTCCAGGCTCCCAGAGGAACGAGTGGGTGTCCAAAGCTGCCTGCCTCCCCTGCAAGGCACCCCATCGCACTCAGCCCTCTGCAGGTCGAGGGGAGCCCGGCAGGTGGGGTGCGCCCAGGGAGGTGGCGCAGGGTCTTCCCACCTGGCCTTCTGGGTTCCCCAGTCTCCCGACGGTGGTCGCACCGCTCCTGCAGCTTTCCAGTGAGTACTTTCTGTCCCCCACCACGTGCGGCTAGGGCAAGGAGCGCGGCGTGGCTCGCTTTTCCGGAAGTTTCCAGTGGCCACCCTGGGGTTCCATGGGGAGCCTCGGGAGGCTTCGTTCGTGTTTTCCCACCACACACCTGAGGCCGTTCCAGGTCTTACCGGCTCACGCTACTTTTAAATCAAGTTTAAAAAAAAATTTTTTTTTTCTTTTTTCAGCCTCGGAAGGCCCACCAGGTCGGGGAAGGCTTCCGGGATGCTGGGGCCGGGGAGACCAGGCGACCTCTGGTCCCGGCGCGCTCGCCCGGTGGGTGGCGGGTCCGGGCGCGGGGCGGGGCGGGGCGTGGGCAGGGCCGGCGCCTGTGCGCGCGGGGCGGGGCAGGTGGCGCAGCGGCGGCTGGCGAGGCGACGCGGGGCTCCCGAGCGCGCCAACGCGGTCCCCGCCGGAGCCTCGGCCGTCCCCGAGCGCGGTCTTCTTCCCCGGGCGCGGCGACCCCGCACTGCCGGCCGAGCATGGGTGCGCGCGCCTCGGCCGGGCCCGGGCCCCGAGCCGGGCTCCTGCTGCTGCTGCTGCTGCTCGGGCTGCTGGCGCCGGGCGCGCAGGGGGCGCGGGGCCGCGGCGGCGCCGACAAGAACAGCTACCGCCGCACGGTCAGCACCTTCTCGCAGAGCGTCAGCAGCCTGTTCGGCGAGGACAACGTGCGCGCCGCGCAGAAGGTGGGCGCTGCGCCCGCGGTCACCTTGCCCCGGGCCGGCGCGCACCTGGCGCCCGGGGCCGGCCCGGGCCGCGCGCGGCCTCTGGAACGGGCGGCCTGGCGGTGCGCGCGGGCCGAGGGACCCGGTTCCGGGTGGGGAGCAGTGGGAGGCCCGGCCTGCGAGCCCCGCTTCTCCCGAGGGCCCAGCACGTGCGGGACGCGGGGTGCCGGTGTCCGGCGTCCTCTTGGACCTTGGTCCGGAGAGCGGCCCTGCGGGGCCCCTGCCCGCCGCGCTGACGCCACCGGCGCTGCGCTTCATTCATTCGCGGCGTTTGAATGGGCCTCACTGTAAGGCAGGCGCGCGCCCGGGCTGCACACCGCGTCCCCACGCGCCCGCGCTGCTCGGCGGCCCCGGCTCCTTCCGGCCTCCCCCCAGTCCTGCAGACGCGATGGGGGCTCCGGCTGGTTTTACTTTCGGGTAGAGAAGAAGTCGAGCGCTCCGATCTAGGGCTGTGCCTGGGGCTTCTCTCTCTCTCTCTCTTTTTTTAAAGATTTATTTTTATTGCAAAGTCAGATATATAGAGAGGAGGAGAGACCAGAGAGGAAGATCTTCCACCGTCTGGTTCACTCCCCAAGTGGCCACAAATGCCGGAGCTGAGCCAATCCGAAGCCAGGAGCCAAGAGCTTCTTCCAGGTCTCCCACGCAGGTGCAGGGTCCCAAGGCTTTGGGCCGTCCTCGACTGCTTTCCCAGGCCACAAGCAGGGAGCTGGATGGGAACCTGGGTTGCCGGGATTAGAAAAGTCACCCATATGGGATCCTGGTGTGTGCAAGGTAATAACTTTAGCTGTTAGGTCGCCGCACTGTGCCCCTTGCCTGGGCTTCTAATTGGAGTTGTCGGGGACCTTTTGGGGGGCCCCTGAAAATGGTTTTGGGCTGCAGGAGGGGTGCGTGGATTGCTCCCCACTCCTGCATGGGCCTTAGGCCCTCTCTGAGAAAGGGGAAGTTGACAGGGCCGTTTGGCTGTGGGGATGCTGTTCGCCTGTCGTTCTTCCTGGGGTTTTGAAGTTGGAGGCTGTACCAACTTCTTTGGACCTCAGTTTCACGGTCTTTTAAATGGGCTTAGCTTTTGTGGCTCCACTAAGAGGTTGCAGCTAACCAGTGGTGGGTATCTTCCTGGATCCCTCCACAGCCAGTTAGTGGGGAGCTGTTACTTGGGGCCAAGATGTGGATCTACCAGACCAGGCTTGCTAAAGACCTTCTGGGGCTAACAGGAGGTCCGTAAGAGATGGCTGGGTGATGGCGGGGAGTGGAACCTGTTGTGACTATTGTTTGTTATGACTAGTGTTTGAAAGGGGGAGACAGAAAGCTTCTGCTACTTCCCTCTGCAAAGGCGGGCCAGGCCACTGCAGGCACCTGGACTCCATCCGTGGGCCATCGTCTGCCATGCCTGACGGGCACATTAGCGGGAAGCTGGATTGGAAGTGTGGGCCTCCCTGACTTGAACTAGTGCTACCGTGTGGGGTGTGGGCGTCCCACAGGTGGGCTTAGCCTGTGGAGGCAGAGAGCTGCTTGGCCCCAGCCAGGGACCGGGAGGCGTGAGACTGAACACCTGGGACATCTTGGTGGCCAGAGGTAGCCCTGAGGCCTGCTGTGCCACGTGGCCTGCTCACACCGCACCCTGCCCTGCCTGACCCGTTGAAAGGCAGTATTTCGTCTTAGACGGAAAAGAGAGACCGGCAGAGTGAGGGGTCTTCTGTCCGCTGGTTCATTCTCTGAATGGCCACAACAACTCAGCCGGGCCAGGCTGGAGCCAGGAGCTTCCTCTGGGTGTGCTGTGTGGTTTTCTGGGGCCCAGGCAGTTCCCCAGGTGCGTCAGCGGGGCGCTGGCTCAGAAGTGGCACAGCCGAGTCTTGAACTGGCGCCCACATGGGATGTTGTAGGATGTTTTGATGCAAAACATGGCAGCAACCTCATTTCTTGTCTCACACAAAAGAAGAATTTTCATGCAGACAATTCTAGCTTGCAAAGCAGGACTTATTTAGGAAAAAAGGGAGAAAGGGCTCCTGCCATGCTGGCAGCAGGGGGCTTCACGGGTCCTGAGGAAAGCTCTGGACTTCTTGCCATAGGGGCAGGAGGAAGGAAAGAAAGAAACCCAGTTAATGGTGGAGACGGTGTGTTTTGTGCACCGTCCCCGGGATTACTCAAAGGACAGAATCGTTCCCAACGGCAGCTGGTTTCGATCAAACCTCGAGCCTGGACTGGTTAGCTTCCTCTGTCGTTCTAATGATGAGCCGTGCACTCAGCTACCACCTGTGACAGTGGCCAGAGGTGAGGACAGTGGCCCAGCCCTTGTAGATGGTGAATTGATGTTACTTAGGCCGCTGTGTCTTTTGGGGCAGGAGGATGTCCATGGGAGAAAGGTGGTCTGGGGAAATTAAGACATGGGGGAGAAAATACAATTTTATATTAAAAAAATAATAATAATGTGGGGACCAGAAAAACCCTAAGTGCCTGCTCTCCACTCTGACTCCTCAGTGTGGGTGGTGGCAGCTTTATTTGCATGGCACAGTGCTGCCCCGAGATGTGCCTTTTCCATGCAGGGTACACACCAGGATCCTGCTACCTGCTGGCAGCTCCGTGGGGGTGTCTGCTGAGTACACGGCCATGTGCAGGGATGCTTCCGTGGATCTGTGGATGGGGCAGCATGGCCAGGCAGAGAAGCCGAGCATCGGGGGCAGGGGAGGGCTGGGCCGAAGTGCAGGGCACGGCACGCTGACCCCTGTGGCCTGTGCCAATTGTGCCAAGCCTGCCTGCAGGTCACCACATTTCATCCTGCACACGTCAGGCAGGGGTCCTGGAGAAAACCAATGGGCGCCGTGGGGAAGGAGCTGGGTCCAGATCAGACGTAGTGGCAATGGCAGTAGCAGGGTGTATGTGGCCCGTGTTTGTGCCACCCACCCGTTTTCTTGCCTGGGTCCCCCAGTAAAGCATCTGGAGCAAGGCCACCTGACTGAGAGCAGCCCAGGCAAGCTGGGCCTCGGGGAGACTTGGCTCATTTGAGTTTAGGGAAAACTGGGCCTGCCGGCCTCGGAGCTCAGGTTTCCTGATTAGAGCCAGACCTGCTTCATGGATTGAATGTGAGGTTTGAGGGTGCTTAAAGAGATACCACATAGTGTAACCTACGCTAGGCTGAGAGACCTGCACTGTGCGTTCAGAGCCCTTGCTGCCGCTGGAAACGGGCTTGCGTTGCAGTCCTGCTCACAGGCTCGCGACCTGGGCCCTGCTTCTGTCCAGTGTGCACCAGCGAGCAGTCGGGGTTAGCTGTGACTGCTGAGTTGTTCAACACCAGGCCCTGAATGCTCAGAGAACAACAGGAGCGTTCATACACAATGGGGATTATGTTCACTCCCTCACAGTTACAAGCACCTGCGACAGGAGTGTTTGTTGGGCACCTGTCCAGGTAGTCACAGGGTGCAGATGGCCCACAGGATGGGTTGGTCTATGAGCGTGAATCAGCCATGGAAAAGGAGGGGCGGCTTGGTGCAGTGGCCTGGTGGTAAAGTCCTAGTCTTGCATGCGTTGGGATCCCATGAGCATGCTGGTTTGTATCCCAGCTATTCCACTTCCCATCCAGCTCTCTGCTTTGTGGCCTGGGAGAGCAGTGGAGGACAGCCGAAAGCTTTGGGACCCTGCACCTGCATGGGAGACCTGGGAGAAGCTCCTGGCTCCTGGCTTCAGATCAGCTCAGCTCCAGCTGTTGCAGCCACTTGGGGAGTGATCCAGTGGGTAGAAGATCTTTCTGTCTCTCCTTCTCTCTGTAAATATGACTTCCCAAGAAAAATAAATACTAAACATTTTAAAAAAAGAGAGAGAAGAAGGAGGGGGCGAACTTGCAAAAGCGCAAGCCTTGTAGCCCGTGACTCCGTGTGTGTGAAGTCCCTAGAACGAGAAAAGCCAGCGGGATGGAGAGTAGAGGGTGTTGTCAGGGATGGGCTTTGTCTCTCCTTGGCTGATCCGGGGTGAGGAGGAGGAGGGCAGCTGCACCACGCCGTGCCAAATTGTGATGTCACAACCCGTGGGCTCCAGGGTGGCCCACATGGTCCGTTGTGTGGGTTTTTCCAGTGGTGTGCCAGCTGGGCCGGGTGATCCCTCCCAGAAAAGTTCCGCCGTGGCAGGGTGGTAGGCAGGCACGGGGAGGGTGAGCTGGGAATGCGTAAAGCAGGCTTGTGGGCTGGGGAGAGCTGTGGCTCTTGGCACCCCATGCTGCCAATGAAGAAATTGAGGCATAAACCGAGTGAGTTCCTCGTTCCACGGTTCCACAGAGAGCTGCCCACGTGTGTGCTTAAAGCGGTTGCAGTCGAGTGTCCTGGATGGGGGAGGCCAGGGAAGAGCAAAGGTCAGCAGGGCTGGTGTGTGGCTGTGCCCGGTGGAGGCAGTGGCCCTGGTGGGGACACTGGGGCAAGGTTCACAGGTCTTTGGTTGCTGCGAAGGTGATTGCAGTGGAGCTCTGTTAGGGATGAAACTGTACCTTTTACTTTGAAAGAGAAAGATCTTGTGCTGGTGCAGCCAGACGGCAGTGACAGCCAGGACTGGGCCTGGCTGGAACCCCCGGGGGTGGCTGGGGCCCAAACACGTGGGTCGTCTTCTGTGGCTTTCCCACACGTGTCAGCTGGGAGCTGAGTCCCCGGCACAGGAGGTGGCACAGGAAGTGGCGCTCTCATACGGGACACAGGCGTCACCGTGGTGGCTTCACCTGTTCCCCAGTGCCAGCTTCCATTTTCGGTTGGTGTGGTTCCCGGTGTGTGTGCCTACCTACAGAGTAAGGTATTGTCCCGCACAGAGCACACTGGTGACCAGCAGGCCCATCTGGAGAGGGGCTTTGGTCTGCAGAGTCCCTTCCTGCTGTGGGGGCCGGCGCTCCCTGACCCCTGCGGCCAGCGGTGTGCTTTTGGTTGCTTGTGTCCCAGCTCTGGGTGGCAGGCATCCCGGGCTTGAGGTCTAAGCAGATGTGAGGTGCAGGGGTCCCCTGCTTCCTTCCTGGGCACAGGAGCAGGGAGCTGGAGCGGAGGCAGAGCAGTGGGTGCATGTACGGCATCATCCACCTGACAGCCCTTGCCGGGGCCTCCTCTGGGGCTACAGACCCCATCTGCCAATCTAGGCACGTGTGTTCCCACCAGGGCTCCCATGTCCACAGGAGGGGGCGGTCCTTTCCACCCTGGGAGAGAGCCTCTACCCAGACCTGCTGCCAGCTGCACTGGTTTCTCAGGTACAACAGGCTTCAGCACCTGCTAGCAGGCTTGAGTTACAGGGGAGGTGACAGGTGACCACGCTGCCACCCGTGGGTCACTGAGCAGTTGGCTGTGGGCTGGGCCCTTTTGGGGTCTGCACAGGCTCTGGCCTGTTTTCCACCTGAGAAAGCTGAGCCGCCAGCAGGACCAGCGGCAGAGGAATGGAGTCGTGTCCTTCCCGCGTGCCCCTCCCTCGGGCAGCTGTTGCCATGGAGACATCCGCTGGCCTTTCCTGGAGAAGCCTTCGTTGGTCCTCCATTTGGACAAGTGGTAGGCACGGCTGTGGACTGGTGGGTGTCCCAGTTGCTTGTCCCATAGGGGACCCGCAAGATCCATCGCTCAGCGACACCCAGGACGGAAGTGCCGATGGGTGCTGCAGCCCTGGTGAGCCATGAAGCCAGCAGGGCCGCTGCCATGAGTATCCCGAGCATGGGAGCGGCTGCCTGGCCAAGGGCGAGGAGTGGCCTTGGGAGCTTGGCCCCAACTTGTACTTCTCAGGGAAATGGGTGATGAGTGGCCCCCCTGTCAGTTCAGCTCTGTGCCTTACCTCTTAGCTCAATCATAGTTAATATCTACAGAGGCAGAGTGGGGAGTCTAGGATGGGTTGATTATTTTCCATTTTCTAGTTCACTACTCAAATTGCTACAGTGGTTGGTACTGGGCGAGACCAAAGCTAGGAGCTGGGACTCCATGTTCCTCCCACATGGCTGGCAGGCACCCAGGTACTTGGCTGTCCTCTGCTGCCTTCCTGGGCATGTTGGCAGGAAACTGGGTTAGAAGCTGAGAGCCGGGACGGGACTGGAGCTGGCAGTCTGACGTGGGAGACAGGGTCACAGGTGGGCAGCCCAACCCTCTGCCCCACAGTGCCCACCTGCAGAGCTGGGCAGTCGGCAGCAAGCTAGCTCAGAGGCGGTCAGCTCTCCTGGTTGCCGATTGGACCCCCGTGTCCCCCGTGCTGGTGAGGGGTTGTTGTCCTGGGGCAGACACACTGGGGGCACGCGAGCCGATGTGCCCAGCAGCACAGGTTGGGAACAGCCTGGGTTTCCATCTGTGCAGATCAGATAGCTGCCGGCGTCTGCAGTGTGAGGTCCAGTGCCCACTGAGAGATGGGATGGAAGCTTCCAGATTTACGCAGTGCTGTTGTCAGTGGGAAGCTGTGTCTGTGATCCTGTTGCTGAGCTGCTGTGTCAGGAAGCTCCAGAAGTCTGGCAGGGGACGGGCGGGGTGACCATTTTTAGAAAATATTTTATTTAGTCTTAGGATTTGAAAGTCAGAGTTACACAGAGGAGGGAAGGATGGAGAGAGAGGTTCTCCGTCTGCCGGTTCACTCTGCAGATGGCCACGCAGCCTGAGACTAGAGCGGGCCAGAGCTGGGAGCTGCTCCTGGGGGCCCAGGCCCTCGGGCATCCTCTGCTGCCTTCCCAGGTGTATGAGTCGGGAGCTGGCTCAGAGGTGGAGCAGCAGGACTGGCAGCAAGGTGGTGACTTAGCCCTCACGGTCCCTTTCTTGTCCCTGCAGTTCCTGGCCAGGCTGACGGAGAGGTTTGTCCTGGGGGTGGACATGTTCGTGGAGACATTGTGGAAGATGTGGACAGAGCTGCTGGATGTCCTTGGACTTGACGGTAGGTGCCAGTCACTCCCAAGAGGCCCAGGAGCAGACCATCAGGGTGAGGGGCAGTGCAGTGGGCACCTGTTCATGAGGCCCACGGGGGTGGCGTTTTCCCAGCAGCTGTTTAGGATGAGGTGGGGGTGAGGGTCCCACGGCAGGCTGCTTGGACTGCTTGTCTGGTCTAACAGGACCCACCGAGAAGCCAGGCACACAGGAATTGCAAGAATGGTGCGCTCCCAGAACCCTGGCAGCGGTCACTGCTGAGCTGGTGTGCCAGGGCTACTGCCATTGGGCCTGATCGGGGCCAGACGGCCTCGCCGGGCCTGGAGGGCCAAGAAGCTGCCGCCCTCTGTGGCAGCATGGTGCTCGGCGGCGGGATGCCTGGCGTTTGCACAGGCGTATATGCCCGAGGCAGCAGAAAGGAGTTCTCAGAGCCCCCTGGGGCAGAGCCCACCCAGCCTGTCCAATCCCTTGTTGCTAGCAAGTCAGACAGTGTCCTGGAAGGCTGCTCGGAGGACCAGAACGGCTGTAGCCCAGGGAGCAAGCTGGCCTGTGAGCGTAGGCCGAGAGAGGGCTGGTGTGGCTGCTGTGTGTCGGGGGGATTGTTCCCCTGCTTCGTGTTCTGGTAAGAGACTGGCATTGGTCTTGGGGGGCCACTGGGCAGAGGCAGGGAGGGAGTGAGAGCCAGCCTGGTCCTGGCTGTGGCTTGCAGCCATGCCCCCCTTTGCCCCCTTTCTCCTGGGCCATGAGTTCTGTCCTTACCTGTCCCTCTGGCAGGGTCGGTGGCACAGACTCAGAGTCCCATCGAGGATGACGGATGCCATCCTTGGCAGGGCATATGCTGTGTGCCAGCTTTATGCCCATAGGAGACCTTGCCCCTCTCTGTCCTAAGATTCTTCGATACCACCACCTTCCTGTTGTCCCAGCATGCCCCGTGCTCTACCAGGTTGATGGGAATTCCTAGAATGGTCCCCTTTGCCCTGCTTCCCCCAGGGTCCAGGCCATCCTGTGCACTTGGGCTGTCCAGGACCGCCTTCCTGCCTCCACCCCCAGGTCCGAGTTGCCATTTGTGTTGTTGGGAAGTCTGTAGTTGCCTCCTGCCCAGGACCCATGTCTGGGTCTGGTGAGTGACCAGAGGGACAGGGCAGACAGCCATGCTCATGGGCTGTGTGTTGGCCCTAAAGGACACACTGCCCAGAGCAAAGGTTGAGGGACCGGGGGACCAGGTTCAGCCTCCGGAGTCTTCTCCTCATGGGGTCACACGGGATGCATGGGATTCCTCCATCCGTGAGCTGTGACGACCCGAGTGGACTTTCCTCGGCCAGGGGCGCTCAGCTCTTGGGCCTCCTGCTAGGGCTGGTTGTGTGGGCACCCAATGCCCGTGGCTTCCCCACATCCCCAAGGAAGGCAGGCGCTGGTGGCAGTGTCTGCTGTGTGCACATCTTTGGCAGACTGTACCCTTGCCTGGCCTAGGGCCTGGCACACGAGGGCCCTCTGCCAGACCAGCAGGAGGAAGAGCCAGTCCCAGGGAAGAGTAAGACCCCTAAGAAGGGGTACCGCAGCTGTGGCCCCAGAGTCTAGACGCGGCTGTGCTGAGAACAGGGCCAAGTGCTCTGATTCTGCTGCCTTTGGTCCTTCTACAAGGTGGGACATTCAGACCAAGGACACAGGGCAGCAGGGAGAAGACGGTTTTGTGCAGAGAGGGCCAGAGGCTGCACTGAGGCAGGCCTGGGGCACCCGGGAGGTGGCAGGGCCCTTCACCCTGCAGCCTGCTGAGGCAGCCGGGCCCGTCCCCACGGTGACCCCAGCCTCCGGCCCCCAGAGTTGGAGGAAAGGTGTGTTGCTCACAGGACAGTCACACATGCCCCTGTAAGGCCTGCACACCCCACTCTACAGATGGCCTTGAGGCTGAGTCATGAGGATGGCTCGTCCCTGCTTGCTGTTGCCCCACTCGGGAGCCTATTTCCTGCCTTCCCACCTGGTTCCATTGGGTTCAGCTGCTGAGAGGCCCTGCTGACTCAGGATACCTCCCTGCTCCGGCAGAGCATCGGAGGCGGCTGCGCGGCCACGTGGGAGGATGCTGTACAGCCCGCAGCACCCTGGGGCCGTTCCTGGCCCCTCATGGGGCATGGCTGAATCAACACATCGCCCAAATGCAGCAACCGCATGCAATCCGAGTCCACGCTGGCCCAGGGCCTTCCACTCCTGTCACCAGTGAACCGCGCAGCAGCAGATCTGATAGCAAGAAGCTGCCCGTGGCTTGGCACGAGACACGGTGTGGGGAGCCTCCCTATCTTTTTTTTTTTAAGATTTGTTTCTTATTATTGAAAAGGCAGATATACAGAGAGAAGGACCTTCCATTCACTGTTTCACTCCCCAAGTGGTCGCAATGGCCGGAGCTGAGCTGACTTCAAGTCAGGAGCCAAGAACTTTCTCTGGGTCTCCGTCTTGGGTCCAGGGTCTCAAGGCTTTGGGCCGTCCTTGACTGCTTTCCCAGGCCATAAGCAGGGAGCTGGATGGGAAGTTGGGCTGCTGTGATTAGACCCAACTATGTGGGATCCTGGCACATGCAAGGTGAGGACTTTAGCTACTAGGCTATTGTGCCAGACTCACAGGCTCTCAGTCCTATAGCCAGGAGCAGAATCGGGCAAGCATGGATGCCTGCATCTGTGATGAGAGCGGCTGGCACTTCCCGGGGTGAAGCGAGCTTGGCTTCTGTGTCGTTTTCCCACTGTGTGTGATGCATAAGTTCAAAGCATTCCTATGCCTGGGGATTTGTGTTTTAGCAGGGAAATGTATCCCCAAAAGTTTGCCTGCGCAGGTGCCGGGGCCCAGGGCCTTGAGCCCTCCTGTGCTGCCCTCGCAGGCCGTGAGCAGGGCGCTTGATCAGAAGCGGAGCAGCCTGGCAGTGAACTGGTGCCCGCGTGGGATGCTTGCAGTGCAGGCGCAAGTTGAATCCTCTGTTAAACGATTGATCGCTCCCTGCCTGCCGTGCACGTGACCAGCCTCCCTCTGCTTCTCTCTTCTGTTCCACAGTCTCCAACATGTCCCAGTACTTCAGCCCGGCCTCGGTGGCCAACAGCCCTGCCCGTGCGCTCCTGCTGGTCGGCGTGGTCCTGCTGGCCTACTGGTTCCTGTCGCTGATCCTGGGCTGCACCTTCAGCGTCCTGCACCTGCTGTTCGGCCGCTTCTTCTGGGTGGTGCGGGTCATCCTGTTCTCCATGTCGTGCGTGTACATCCTGCACAAGTACGAGGGCGAGCCCGAGAACGCCGTCCTGCCGCTCTGCTTCGTCGTGGCCGTCTACTTCATGACCGGGCCCATGGGCTTCTACTGGCGCGGCAGCTCCGGCGGCCCCAGCGTGCAGGAGAAGCTGGAGCTCCTGGAGAACCAGGTCAGAGTGCTCAACATTCGCCTCAGCAGGGTGCTGGAGAGCCTGGACCGCGCCAAGGACAAATGAAGGTCAGCCAGCCCCCTGGGTGCTCTTCTACCAGCGCGGGCTCTCGGGAAACATAAAAAGAGGGAAAAAGGAAAAACAGCAACAGACCGTAAACATTATCAATAAACGCTGCGGAACGTGAGCGTGGCGCTTGGGGAGGGTGGCTGCGGCCGGCGGCAGCTCACAGGAGACGGCGTCAGTGACTGCACCAAGCGTCACTAGTGGGGAAAATATTTTTTAATCAAAGGCGATCACCACATTAGCTGTACAGAAAGGAATTTATCTGTGCATAGAGCATAGTTCACTTTTTTTCGAGCATTTAAATACATCTTTTGTAAGGTTTTTTAAATAAAGGTGGATGAGTCAAGTTTATTAAGACTTCACACTGAAGGAAAGAATATGCCCGTTTGATGTTTTGGAAATGCTTCCATGCGTTTGTCTCTGCAGCGCAGGGACAGGCAGGCGAGCTTGGTGTGCGTAGATACGTGTACCAGAATGGAGCCCCATTTTACAGGTTTGGGGCTGATGCTGACCTAATGACTGTTTCCTTTGCGGGTGAAATGCTTCGGGGACCCAGGGGCCAGCAGCTTTCCATTCCCCGAAGACCTGAGTGTCTTTGTCCTGTGTCCTTTGGTATTTTTTAAGCTCAGCATTCTTGGGAGGAAACGCCAGGGGCTGGGAAGGTGATGAGGGTCGCCCCAGCTCCTGTTCGCTGCCCTGTGTCTCGGGGCCTGCACAGAAAGCTGTACCCCAAGTGTTTTTGTTTCATTTCAGTTTTGGTCCAGTCAGGGCCTCAGAAGGAGGACCCGCCGACATGAGCAGCTCCATTCTGGCTGTTTGCAGAGTGGCCCGGGGGGTGCTCAGACCTGCTCAGACGAGCAGACCTAGGGAGACCCCGCCATGGTGACGCATGTGCCATGCCTTCCGTCTGGACCTGCTGTGTGTCCTTCTGTTAGATGGCCTCTGGGGATGGGGGGCAGCAGCCGAGGGGGCCCAGGCAAGAGAGCTTCTCAAGGCTCAGCTCCTTGCGAGTGGCAATGCGCCCTCACTGGGATCCCATTAGGAAAGGGAGCCGGTGTGTGCAAGCTGGCCTGGCACCTTCACCAGCACATCCTGGCAGCCCTCAGAGCCCTGCCTTTGGGTTTGTAGGAACCCCTGTCAGATCCTGTAGAACCAGGACCTCACAGTCATCCAGGTACCAATTTGAAGAAAACCGAGCTGTCTGCCAGCTCTTGCATGTCTCTGAAGTTCCTGTTGTGGTGGCAAGGCCTGGATGGAGCTGTGTGTCTTTAAGGGCCCAGTCTCTCTGGCGTTCAGTTAGTTCCCTGAAAAGCATGCCTGTTTTCTAGGCATTGCTCACATCGGTCTCCATCCAGGATTCTGGCTTTTGTGTCACACAGACAGGTCCATGTTAGCACGGGGGTGAGTGACATGGGCACATCCCTGCCCTCCTTCCCCTGCACATCTGGCTGTACCCACTAGGTGCCCGAGATACCGCTGTTCCCCATTCTCCACCGAGATGCACAGGGCACGGTGTCAGCAGCCACCACGTGGCCTGAGGAAGGGCCCTGTGTCTGGGCGTCGGGTCGGAAGCACTGAGCGCCGAAGTCTGGGCTTGCCTTGGTCGACAGCTCGCTCTGCTCTGCTCTTCTCGGCAGCATCCTCACTGCGCGGCTGACAGCTTTCAGTGGTTTGTAGCACCCAAGTTCCACTTCTGTTTGGGACAGTGCTTGACCCCAAGGCCACGGAGTTCTTTGTTTTCTTCCTCCATCCCGTGGACACTCTGCAGGGCCTTGGCCTTCCCTCGCCATCTCTCTCTGTCTTTTGTATGTGGAAAAATGTATTTTTGTACCATTTCTCATACCTGTAAGAAGGACCTTTGTGATCCCTTCAGAGCCAGAGAGCCTGCCAGCATGGCACCTGGTAGAGTGTGATTCCAGAATATTCGGATGAAAACAATGTTGATCTGGTTTGAAATGTGTGTGTCATAGGGGGCCCGGGGTTTGCATGGCCAGGCCCGTGCTCAGGGGGTGTGTGCCCCAGGGGAACAGCATGGCCTGGCCCCTGCTCAGGGTGCCTGAGGCCTTGAGGGGTGCTGTGGGTGCTGCCGCCTTCCCATGTCCCCTGGTAGGTCATACTAGGTGGCTAAGAGACATTGCCAAGAGGTGAATGCCCTGGGGAAGGCTTTTGCTGGGTTCCCCTGGTCAGTGAGAAACACAGGGGCCACACAGGGCCACCAGCAGCCTGTCCCATGCTGGCAAAGGTGGGGCAGGGCAGCACGGTGGTGGGAAGTACCAGTCAGCAGGTCAGGGTAACAGCGTGACCTGCAGCCTCCTGCACTGCGATGTGTTTCACTTAGTGGAGATGGACAGCTGTCCTGGGGTTGGTGCCAGCGCACCTGCTAGGCCAACACCTGCTAGGTACTTGCCAAAGGGTTTTGACCCAGCTGACTTCACCAGAAAGCCAGCTCTTGCCCTCTGGCTGAGGTTCCTCCCGACCCATACTTGCACAACACTGATGTTTCTGGGCAAGTTTGAATGATCCGACCTGCGCGTCCTGCGCGTCCTGCGCGAACAAAACTGAAGAACTGTAGTGACATCACAGGTTCTAACAGGACCCTCTTGGCTCGTGCTGGGTAGTCAGCCGGGGGCAGAAACCCAGTTGTGCCCAGCACACCACTCTCCTGGTTCCTCCTGGCTGGGTCATTGGAACCAGGACCTGTGTCAGCACCAGCTTTTCTCTTGTGGCACAAAAAGCCAACCGTCATCTGTGGCGTTGGCTGAAAACCTGTGGCAGCTAAGGACGTTGTTGGCCGCTGTTCCCGGGCTCGGGTCCAGAGGTTGTTGGTGTCAGTTTTAGCGTCCACCTGTGTGCTCGGTCCCAGATCTCTTGGAACGGCCGTGGTGGTCAGCACACGCTTCCAGCCCAGCAACGGTTCCCTTTTTCTGAACTGGAAATCGGTTATAATTGGGAAGGCAAACACCCATTAGCAGAAGCACATCCTTAGCTCAGTTGGTGTTGGGTTACACCGACTGGTTACACATTTTCTATAGGATCGAATTGGATGCTGTTGCTCCATTTGATTTAAACACAGTGGTGTGGGAGATAATGAGTTCCACCTGGAAACTGATTCTACAAGTACTTTCAACAGACGTGAATGTATTGGGCTTATTATTATTTTTTTTTTCGGCAAAGCGGTATCTAATTCCTCTTATTTATAAACCACCGGCTTTGGTGTTATGTAGAGGTATTTGTAGATCGATTTCAGAACAGAATTAAAATATTGTGAAAATTATAACTTAATAAATGTTTGTTGTAATTTGGTTGTGTGGACTTTAATGTTTTATTATGATGGTTTTCATTAGTGGATGGAGGCTAGATGGTATGGATTAAATAGATGATTCTGAGAACATGACAGTAATTTCATCCCTGTGTGTACCTCTTAAATCCCTCTGTTCGAGCCGAGCATCGGTAGACCACCCAGTGATGGCCGGGGCCGGCTTGATGGAGGAATCCGGATGAGCTGCTGGAGGGAGGTGTGCCGGCCTCAGCTGGAGCTGGCCAGTCTGACCTGAGTTTCACATAAGCAACCTACACTCTTTTTTAACTAAGTGTACTGCAGTTTTGCTTTAAAAGATTATTTATTTGAAAGAGAGATCTTCCATCTGCTTCGCTCTCCAAATGGCTGTAACAGTTAGGGATGGGCCAGGCTAAGGCAGTAGCATGGAACTCCATCCGTGTCTCCCCAGGGGTGCAGGCCACCCTCACCTGCGCTCACAGGAGGAACTGGACTGGTAGTGGGGCAGCCGGTTGCAAACCCCCCGTGCTCTTAGGGACACCGATGTCACAGTAGTGGCTTAGCATGCTGTGCCTCGACAGCGCTCCCAGGTGCTGCCCGTGACCTAATCTCAAACTCAAGCTCATCGTGCTCTGCGTTTATTTGCTAAGTTGGACAGCCCCATTAGGGTGGCGTGACTGGTACTCAGCCCTCCAGGGCACCTTGAACTTGGGTGCCACAGGCTGTTTCCTCACAGAACGCTAGCAGCAAGGTTGACAAGAGGGTAACCCCAGTAAACCAACTTGGGCCCTGAGTGCTGCCAGCAGATCCCATACCATACACGGGGCTGGGCGAAGCTGGCCCCTGTGACATCGTGGGAAGGTCCTGGCACCCTCTGTCGCTGGGAGAGTGGGCAGGTGACCCCTGGGGCCAGGCACGATGCAAGACAACTCATCCACTAGTGTGAGCAGCAGCACGGGGTGTCCAGACAGAAATCTGAATGAGCAGGGGTGTAACTCATCTGAGTAAAAGCCTGGGATTTAAAACATCTTTGCAAGAATATATTTTTGAAAAATGAAACCTAAATAAAGCAGGAGCAAGACCTTCCAGGACCCAGGGAATGCAGGGAGAACTACAGGCCTGTCGTGGGGGTGCCAGAGGCCTGACCTGGTGCCCCTGGGCCTTTGTACTCACGTGTGCCCAGTGCCCTGTCCTGGTGGGCTTTCCCATCAGCTAAGACGGGCCATGTGATGTTCCAGATGTCCTGTCTGTCACCTTCCCTGTCACCACTACATCCGGTCACCACCTTTGTGGCCCCTCCCTCCGGCTGAGCCAGGCTGAGGACGGCCCAAAGCCTTGGGACCCTGCACTTTGTGTGGGAGACCCAGAGGAGGTCCCTGGCTCCTGGCTTCAGATCAGCTCAGCTCCGGCTGTTGTGGCCACTTGGGGAGTAAACCAGCAGATTTCCATCCTCCTCTCATCTGCTTCCTTACCACAGGCAAGTTTGTGGTCTTGGACAGAAATGGGTCTTGTTGGTATTAGAAATTCTAGAATGTTCCAACTTCCTTAATAGTCAGCATTGGCCATTTGCCTTCCTCCCTGTGGCTGGGAACGAGGACACACGCCCATGGCCTCATGCTGCTGGATGCCTTCGTGCTTGAATGTTGGTGTGCCCATGACACCCCGGGCACAAGCACGTGCGGGGAAACGCCCACTGCAGCCCAAGGAGCCCGCACGCTGCCAGAACCGGCTGCAAAGAGAAACCGCTGCACAGAAGTCGCCTCCCTGGCATTTAAGAAGGCGTGACATGGCCTAGGAAAAAGGAAGGCCACAGCCAGCGCTGTCTCCTCGTCCTCACTGTGTCCTGTCAGAGGATGACACCGAGTGCCCCAAGCTGCCCTGTAGGGCGACTGCCACCTCTTCCTCAAGTTGCAGCCGGGGTGCTCAGTGGCCTGCTACAGCTTAGGAATGCTCCCAGGGTGTTGCTGCGAGGGGCACTGAAGCCCTGGACCCTGCCTGCAAACGCCCGGAGCCCTGTCCTGCACGGTCACCATGCGTGCCCCCTGTCCTCCTCCGTCCCTGGCATCTCATCTGG